TGCAGTTGCATTCAAACTTTGTGAGCAGTACGATATATCGGATCATGAGTGAGTACAAATACTCACCGATGGCGTATACACTGCGAAGTCTTATGAAAGAATTTTCAATATTAATCCGAGAATTCTCAATATTTCCACTGAGTGATCACTTCCATTTTCATCATTTGTCTGAGTACATGAGTTTCACTGACTTGCTTGCATAGCCTCAGTGACATTCATGAAATGTGTATGTGTATTCTCATGCATTCAATATACCATCTATCTGGAAGTGCGACGGTTTTATTCATTGTGGAATATCTGCACGGTAACTTGAAACGTCACTCATCATGCTCTCAGGATTCGATTGAATAGGAGTATTCAGGGCTGCAATTTTAACCGCATATTCACTAGACATTATTTTTCCTGAATTGAGCGGCATAACCAGCGAATCAGTTGTCCAGTACACGAGTACTGGTTTCCATTGGTAAGCTGTCGTAAAACAAGCAACAAATTCCAATCCGTTCCAAGGAATATATTTCTGCCTAATCCAGAATTCATAGGTGTTAACGAAGCAGAAATCCTTTGTAAACGACTCTACTGATCACTGAGGAAAACACACTTGGCCGCGAGCTTACCACTGACGTTTTCCTGCAAAGCTGTCCAGCCAGAACGAGAAAGACAAGCGGTCGATTTAGGCACCTCAACGTGCAAATACCAGTTCGCTTGCTCTTGTGGAGCTGAGTACATCGGCCATATTATGCACCGACTTACAAAAGGCGCTCGTGAACACTACCCTGTCTGGCTAGTACAAAGAAGACTAAAAACGTGTAAAGAGTTCAGTAAGAGAACATCTGGCCAATTCAGGACTTTTAGCGCCTTTCGAAAAATCATTCAAAGCATACAATATTCAAGATTCAATCAAAACCTATCAAAGGGAGTGAAATCAAGACATCTGGGCATAGCTGAGGCACTAGCTATCCAAAAGCTCAAACCCACGCTTTGTATCCAAATGAAATACGTCCAACCCTCTGTCCCTGACATGGCCATCATAAACAGGTAAATGTTTTTAGCAATGACCATCCCGTCGCCATTTTTATCTAAACGTCCTGTTTATTCATGCTATTTCAAGTTCTTCTTAATCCCTGTTTACACTAACACATTTTCATATCCGAACTTCACGTTTATTTTGTCATTTTCCTATATCTACATATTTAATCCCTAATTGCATTATTCATCACATTAGTTTTTATCCAGACATCTTGTCTATTTTGCTATTCACACATTTCTGAACCCCAGTTGCACAATGTCAATCTTCTTAGTTATTATGATGCTACTTCGTTTGGGCTGTATCCACACCCTTTTTAATGTGACATTCTAGTTCCTAATTGTAATTTTTATAAATTTGACCCTTAACCGAATGTTATTCCGGAACCTTTCAATCCATTTGATATAAATACGCGAATGTACGGCCTAGATGAAAACTTCGTTGAAAAGAAAATTTTCTTCGCTGCAATTGTCTTTTTACCAACAAAGTTAAATAGAGAAGGACTGACTGAGTGCACCAAATTTCATGGAACCCTTCAGCTGAATATTCTACATACAGAGACATAAATATATATATATATACTACTGGAAGTACATTGGGAGACACAAGACTGATGAGCAAAAAACTACAAGGAATTTTTTTATTCAGAACGACACGTGTGAATGCTTTTCAGGTGACGTTCAAACAGACAGGTGCAAGGGAGTATGAGAGATCGGAATTGGGTAAAATCAATCTCGCTCCAATTACGTCACTTAGATAAACAATCAGCCATCAGAGGAAGAGCATTAATAGTAGACTTCGGTAACATTTGAGTAGGACAGATTACATGAAGTGAAGTGAACTGTCAGTGGCTATGACTTTTCTAGGTGGAAGGATGTATAGAGAATATGGAAATCGCATTTTGACATTCATCAAGTCACACAGTGTTATATACTGATGATATTGGGAGCACAATGTATTCCTGATAACCTCATCAAGGTAATCACATAGCTAATATGCTTCGTTTGTGCATATGAGTCAAAAGTATTTCGATACTGGAATAAATTCAATACAAGCATTGCGTGGAACGGAAGGAGAGCTGGAGATCATTCGAAAGGGATATGATTGAAATCAGTAAAACTAATTCTGTTGGTTAAGCTAGATGAACTGAACAGTTTTTCGCTGCACAGTGTTCTTTACAGGTATAAATACATGCATCTTGATTGTGAAATATTCTTTCTTCGCTTAGCCATTTTTAATTTGGCACAGATGGTAGGACAATGAATATGCTGATGCATAAAACCTTCCTTATTGACTATCTACTGCTGACAGCACTTGTGATTGCATTCTTCGACAGTACATACATAAACCGGGACCGTGTTCTGATAGTGATGAACTTCGTCAGACTTCTTCTGGTCAAGTTGAGGTATGATTAAATTTTTCAAAGGGATTCCAGTATCTGAAATGTAACAGTTCGTCAATTCCTACGCCTAATTATCTGAATATACTCGTCGCCTCTTTCTGTTTCTCCCACAATACAATAAATGTTTGGCAAAATATTTTCATGTGTTCTCATTCGTCTATGCATCTTCATCGGATGCACGACTAATGTCACGTATATTGTGTATCGAAAAATGAAAAAGTGTCTCGATGAAGTAGTTAGGCATCGAGTAGATGTGTGTGAAAATATTCTCTCACTCGCCGTTACAATTCCCGTTGATGGGTAAATGCGGCACACCTGAAAAAGTCTGTCTGTTTGGCCAAAAAGGACACAATGGTTTTATGTAAGACAGAATCACTTTCGAACCACCTATAAGGAGATTGTTGGGCGTCACTGAAAGCCTTCAAGAAGGGTTCATGTTTGTGTAAACCTAATTTCTTCCTGAATTTCAAAAATTAGGATAATTGCAATAGTTCCAAATCTAACAATAATACCAGTACATAATTTATCTCCGAACTGAACTTCAATATCTTTCCACGCATCAAATAAAACAGTATGGGGAGAATAGGAGGCATTCGAATGCCTGGGATTACTGGACAGCTGTTTAATGATAATTATAATGATTCACTTTATTCCAAAAACAGTACTTGTGATACAGAATGGAATGGAATTTTCAGCATTAATCACAATATTACTGCATCTAATTTCCTCAAATTATAAATAAAAATTAATCACACAGAAAATTTTTTCACATTTACAACAGGGGTGGTTAATGTCAAAAACAGGCAGCATATAAAATGGAAATAACAATAATAATGATAACAGCTAGGGTAGTAATAATAATAATAATACAAGTGAAAATTACTGTGGGCTTGTTTCACAGTATTGGCAATGTGGTATAGAGATCCTAGCATGTTTAAAAATATTGAATATAATGTTCTCTTTACATGATGGTGATGGTGAGGGGAAAAACAAAGACTACAGCAGTCACTGAGATAAGTTGGTGATTGCAATTATGAGAGTAAAACAAAGAAGCAACAGGACCATAAATATAATAGAAGTAATAAAAGTAAAACTTGAAGGTATATAAGGATGGATGGAGGAAATTGTTTATTTACTAGATGAAAAAAGGTTAGTTAATTCTTGCCTGACACTATTTTCATCACATAAAATACTTGCCAAATATTTTATCATAGAATTTCTATACTGAGACGTGCGAGCATACAGTTGTCTGAAGTTACTCCTTGTTCTACCTGAGGAGATGCAAGGTGAAAGCTGAGGGTAAATAAAGCGGATGCTCCAAGTCAGAAAAAATCCCTTTAGCAAATTTATTGCACGAAGTCAAATGCCTATCGACAACGACGTTAACTATGTGGTCCACTGGGACACCACTCATTCTACTGACAGTCTTCAGCATTCTACGAATTGTGACATAGTCTTCTTTAAGCAAACCAGGAAAGAATAAGCAGGGGTGAGCAATAAAGAAGAATAGGTAGGATGCAAGAGTTTATGAACTGTAGGAGGAGGGGTTGAGTTATACTCGAGTGTCTTAACTTCTTAATGTAAAATGTCAGGCGGAATATTTTACTGGAGATCGCTAAGACATGGGAAGTCCAGGAGAGATCAGAAGAGAGAATGAGTCAGAGATATTTAATTTCTGATTTGACTCCTATATCATTGTCGTCAATCTTACAACTGTCATGAGAATCGATGACTTCTTTTAACTGTCTTTTACATCTTAAGCTGAAATTAACAGTTTGACACTTAGAAGGATTCAGTTTAAGACCGTTTGACTCAGACCATTTGCTGACTCCAGACAGAAAGCTATTTATTTTGGTAGAATCTAGCCGGCTGTGAGTTAACAGCCATTGAAACCGTTAAATCATCAGCGTACTTCACAAAGTTGATTTCATCAGAGTGAGGCAAGTCATGTAAGAAGAAAGAAAAAAGAAAAGGAGAAAGGACAGCGCCTTGAGGGACACCAGCTTCAGTAGGCAATGAAGTGGAAGACTCATATTTATACACGGTGTACTGGTTTCTTTCTGAGAAATAGGAATGCAACCAGTTAACAGCCCAACATTCTGTTTGACTAGCAGCAAGTTTATTTTATTAGACGTCCCTAGTGACCGAGTCGAAAGCAGATGTGTAGTCTAGGAAGACACAACGAACAAATTTAGCCCCCTTGTCTAGACTGGAAGCAATGTTATGATACAGGACGGAAGCTGCATCTAAAGTGCTTCTACTGTGCTTATAGACAAATTGTTTGGGGTCATTAAAGGATTAAGCGAGGGTACAAGACTAATCAAAAGTAATTTCTCCATAGTTTTCAAAAAAGGAGACGTAATAGCAATGGGTCTAAATTCGACACATGCTCCAGTAGATAATTTGGCTATAGGTACAACTTTGATGTCCTTCCAAACGGCAGGCACAATATTATCGGAAAAACATTTGTTAAATAGATCAGTGGGGAGGGGTGACACAGAATATCAGAACATTTTTAAAGAATAATACTTGGTACATAATCTGGACCTAAGCTCTGGGAAGGGTTTCGAGACTTCGGGCACTTTTGAACATCATTTGTGTTAAAACCTGGAAATGGGCTATTATTAACACTAGTGATGCTGGGAAGCATGACATTTGAGGGAGATTAAATGAAAGATTTGTTAAGAGAACATGCATCAAAAGAATATGGAATATTGTTTATCTGCTTACCACCAGTGATTTCCTTAAATAGTTTCCACATATTAAAAGGACTTTTGCAGGATATGAATTTCTGGTTATATATTACATTCAACCTCTGCATTTCAGACTTGATTAAGAAGTTAGTTCTTTTTACACCACTTTTATCTTTCATCTTATACAGTTTTTCCTTCTCCCTACGAAGCTTTTTAAGTCGAGTCGAGGAGAAACTGTCAAATTTGACGAATAGTGTTTCTCTTGGACAGCAGATTTGAAAATAGAATTTCAGATAGGATGTAATATTAGAGATAGTGTCATCGAGTGAATCATTAATAAACAGATCCCATTTTGTGTCACTGAGCATATTTCTAAGGTGATGTACGTTCTCATTTGAGCAATATCTGTGAACAACTTTCTAAGACAAGTTTGAGAAGGCTTTAGTGTGTAACCTTCCGTAAATTTTCGGTAAGACTCGTACAACACAGTGATCTGAATTCGAGAGTGGATCACTTTTACGAGCTTCGTATATTCCAGAATCATTTATAAATACTAAATCAATTGAAGTATTGTGTCCAGTTGGGAAATTAACAACATTTTCATGGCCCAGCAATGTAATTAAACTGCAGTCGCAGTTATGGAAGTCTCCAGTCACTATAGATAAGGAGTTACCAAACGAAGCAGCACCACTGAGAGTTAATAAAAGTGGCAACACCACCACCTCTCTTCTTCTTTCAACTGCATCGGTCTTGTCTGTAGATTGTGAAACCGCTTCAGGAGACTAAATTATCGTCATATGAGTCGTGGAGCCAAGTTTCTTGGAGAGTTATTACACCAGTATTACAATACACATTTGAGTATAACAGAGAATGTAAGTAGTTAATCTTGTTCGATAATGACCTGCAATTTGTGCTCATAACCACAGGAACAGTCATCTGATGCATTGGAGTGGACTTTACCGATCTTTGCCACCCAGCATGATGCTTTTTCTTAAGGTTACTATAATATAGTAGTAAATCATCAGGTTGAAAAGATTTTAAATAATCGCAAGAGTAAGTAACGCGACTTGGATATATAATTGAATAATTAAAAGAGAATAAATCCGAGGAAATAGATGCAATATGTAGGATAGAAATTTTGGTAGCCCCAGATTTAAACACGCCGCCTCTTTTAACCTATTTCGGGACTCTAAAAACCAACACTAGAATATGAGGCAATGAAAGTGTTTGTAAGATTATGACATAAATCGTCCCGTCATCTTCTAAAGTGAACAGCTGATGCATCGTCCGTCTGTGAGCTTTTTGAGTGTTTCAGATATTTCAGACATTTGAGAACATCAGGAATTTTCACACCGAAATAATCAACATCTCAGGTATTCGCACCATTTTCTTCGACATTTTCTTCTTGTTGTGTAAGTTCAGAACGTACACACTGTGTGAGTGTATCATTCCATCAGAGAGTGAAAGGTTTTCGGTAAATAATACTGTACAACGCAGTGAAACCGTATCGAGTAAGTTTACTTCATGGTGGAATTAGCTTCCAGTGTCTTAATTGAAGTAGATTTGTTGGTCTCCATACTGGAATTCAATAATGAAAAGTAAATCGTGTGTGGAAAGAGAACGTCATTTTTGTGACCGTGACACATGAAATGCATCTAGCTAAATCTGCAAGTGTTTACTGCTGCGCTGGAGCATGTGAAGCCAGATTATTCCATTACTCATCAGTGATACGCCAACCATAATGTCACATCATTTAGAAGTTGCATTCTCAAAAATCTGTAAGGAATAGATGAAACTCAGAAAGCTAAAAAGTCAAGTATTTCATTCTCCCTTCTTCGAACGTATACGCGTGTAAGTGTTGGGGCTAGAATTAAAATAGTCCTCGATATCACCACACTTACTAAAACTTCACCGTCCTATGACTTTACCAGTACTCTACCTAACGTGTAAGTACTGATTAACCCAATCAAAGTTTAAAGGCTAAAAATGGAAAGAATTCTTAGTATGAGTTGTATTTAATGTAACTGAATAACAGATTTAATAAATAAAGTGACTGTACAACTTATCTGCAGACGTTGCTGGAGCTAGGCTCGGAGAGTGTGCAGAAAAAGAGCACAACAAGAGAGCGAACCAATGAACGTACGGAAGACTCACAACTCAAAAGATAACAAGTGTATCACCATGGGTGAGCGAGTTTAAACAAAAGTTCAAAGGTACAATGTGCACTTCACACGGATGACGTGATTGTCCATCAAAGATGAAATGAGTAGATGTGACTTCCGTTGGGGATTCCAGTAACTCCAATATTGAAGCAAAGGACTGATACAGGTGTTCAGAACACTGTAATCCTCAAATCCTTTTCAAATTTCCAGATGCTCAAATTGACTGAATGCTGATGAAATAGTAGTACGGGAAGAGAAAGTCCGATGAGATGTTTACAATTCCACGTCATCTCCCGTGAAGACGTCACTTCTAGTTGTCTATCGAAGAACATGCCTAGTGCGCAGAGATTCTCTCTGATTTTCCTTGCAGATGTGGTGTAGTGACACGAAACCAGTGGATGAGGTTGTTAAGCTGAATAGAGTGAAATCACTGCATCATGTCATACTTTTATTATGCCATTGCATTCCTCGTCTATTATTTGTATTGGCTGATATCGAATTAGGTTGAAAAAGAGTAGGGATCAGTCGAATCACAATGTGTCTTGATTTAGCGAGTCCCTTAAATGTTGTTTTCAGCCACGTGAGATGGTGTAGACTGTCGAGTTTGGGTAGTGGAGACGCTGAATACCGTTTGCTTCGCACTGTTAGCGTTAATGTGAAAATCATTCACAGTTGTGAAAACGCATTCAACATTTATCAACTCCTGAATGCATCAAACTCTCATCATTATTCTTCCGTGATCACTCCTCAAAATCTTTCGAGTTTCACACATCCGCAATTGATGTCACTGACATTATACTTAAAGACTTTCACTCATGCCTTCACAAATCCGAATGTAGACACCTCTGAGGAATTTTACTGGACACTGTTGCCCTTCGAGGAAAATTAGCTGTGTCAGAAAATGATCAGTGCTGTCGGTGGTATATATGCTAGGGGATACAGGTACACCAGATAGACACTGCAATTAATTCTAGTGAAATTGACATCTTCAGTGTGAACTAAGTAGGTCCTACGTGAGCACATCACCATAATGACCATTTAGATAGATGTGGATCTTCTTTCTAGACAGAGATCTTCATATGTAGTAATTCAAAATGAACCCTTGAAACATTCTTCGAGTTAAAATCAGACGATTTGAAGGTGTCGTGGATTGTGTTGATGTAGTTGTATTGCGGTGCGTCGCTGAAACTCTATTCTTCAATCGCATCCCATAAGAAAAATATGAACAATTATAGTTATCATATTTGTCCGCTTTTCTGAGAAACGATTTTTGATTGTACTCTGAGATAATTAACGCAGAGTGTATATTTGTCTTGATATTTCTGTGTGAATTCTAATACTTGAAAATTCTGATATGCCAAAAGAGATTTACAGCAGTAGATTCTCATTTTACAAGAGTATTCAAGGTCTGTATGATTTTGTGCCTTCCAAAATTAATTTTAAACTACAATTACTAAACACGGAATTTAGATGACCATGTTCAAGAGGTAAATTCTTGTGGTGATGAAG